TGACAAACTAGCTTCAGCTAAAAAATGGGTAAAGTTGGCTCTGAACAATTTTTTCGACACCATTTGTTTGACGGAGGATTTGTTCTGAAGAATGTGCAGCGCATCAAACTTACCTGAGGAGGTCGTAATAACCTCCTAGATTGGGGGGAGGGGATGAGGGGTGGTGATGGCGGGCGGAAGCTCAAGGCACATACTACCTACATGACACATACAACTTGATTAGCAGTATTTTAGCTAATTTTAGTCGAATTTTCATGTAGAACATAGGAAACAATTAAATCAGATTTTAGAACTCCTCTATCTAAGCAATTGTGAGAACGGCAAATTCTGCATAGTCAAGGTTTTCCTAAAGTTGCAAAAACTTTTTCGAAACATTCGCGCTTCGTTTTTTTCAGTTCTTCCAAGAGGGTTCTTTCTAGAGTTCTCCTAGAAGCTACCTAGCTTAGGCTACCGAGTTAGCCGTTCGAAAAGGCTACTGTCTGGCCGAGTAGCCTTTTCGGAACGGCTAACTCGGCCAGACAATGCTTACCCCATGTGAAGACAGACAAGAGTCAAATTCTATGTAGAGTAGCATTTTTGAAGCTTCGGCTTTCTTCCTACAATCATTGCACTCGCCCTAAATGGAAAAAATGGAGAAATGGGCGAGCCTAAAGACATTTGAAAGGAACGAATATTGTGAATTGAAGTACAACCAGGCAGAAGTCGTGTGAACGTTTCCCTTCGGTCTGTAGTATAGACCCTAGAGGACAATCACAGATGTGGCATTCCCGTGCACGGAAATCACCCGACAAGAGCGCTTGGGCCTTGCAAAGTAAGCTGCTGCAGCTGCAGATTTTTTCTTTTATCAGGTGTTGTCTGGCGCTCTCTCATCTGTAGCGCTCTCTCGCCTCATACTCTCCTCTCCGCGCTTAGTCTCTCATTCCCTTAGCACAGCCGATTAGGAAGGTGAGTGAGCCCTTAACCTAAGCGTTTTCGACGGATTTTTCCTTTTTTCTTTACTGCCGGCCCATTTCGCACCAATACATTCACATTCGTGTGCAAGAGCCACACCATTGCGATCCTGGGGCATGCCTTCAAAACATGGACGTACTCGAGAAACTGATCAGTAGTTTCCACTTAAAATTTCAATTGATTTTCATACGACATCTCAAGCAGTTGAAGTTGTTCCCCAGATTCCTTTTCTATTATTATTCGTTTAACACATTGACGACATTGAGACGCGGTAACGCGTCTCACTTTGCGCACCTCGTTGGACATTGAGACGCGTTGCGCGTCTCACCCTTATCATCCCTTTTTCTAGCGCATGCGCGGCTTCTTCCCAAATTGTTTTTACTTATTCTGTAGATCATACGTTAATCTAGCTGTAAACGCCGTGGTCCATGAAATGGTTAGATATGCTTGCACACAGCTGCTAACCTGTTTATTTCGGGCATCGAGATTCGAGGGGAGGCTAGAGTCGGCGACGTTGCGCGCAGCTTGAGTGAGCCTTCTGAGAGGAAGATAGTGTAAACGCGCACATTCCCATTTTCACACATTTCTAGTGATTTTTCCCACTCTCCAATTCCCTGAACTGACTATATCCCCCTTGGTTTACGGCCCCTTATTTTGAGCTAATGTTATTACTCTCTCGCTTAGAGGGCGCCGACATGCTGTCGCCGACTGATCCTCCTCCCAACTCCCATTGCACTTTTGTTTCGCTACTTTTAGTCTAAATGTGTAATAAACAATGTGAGACCTCAAATTTATTGCAAAAGACTCAAAACTTTCTACAAAAGAAATTGCAAAAATGTTGTTTGCAAAAGTTTTG